GGGCCGCTCTATTCTGCCCTACGACAGAATGCATAGTTGTTAGCTAAAGAGACAGCCCAAGACGTGTACTACGTATTGGTGACGTCAAAATCAAGCAGCAACCTACATTTAAATATTTGCTTAGACGTTGGAAAATGTGACACAAAAATCCGAAGGTGCATACGGATACCGAAAGGTGTCTTCCAGAAACTAAGAAAAGTATCATGAAATAGAAATGTATTGTTAGAAACAAAGAAAAGAACGATAGGCTGTGATGTAATATCTATGTGGTATTGAATACTTGAAAGTCTCGTCACAGATGAAAGACTGACTTGCAGCGACAGATATGGTAAAAATACTATGGATAGAATATGTGAGCAACTTGGAAGCATTGAAGAAAATATGAATCAGAAGGACACATACTTGAAATCAGAAGGAAATAGATGAAATTTCTGAGATATAAGGAAATAAGGTCAGTCAGATCAAATCCAATCACCCACCAAGCGAGTGAAAAAAAAAGTGTAGCTTTGCTCAAGTAGAGAAAGGAATATCAATAAACATATATAAATAATTTTTCTTTAACTTACATATATGGAATCTAGTCTAAGGAGAGAATTCCTTTTCTTAAGAGACTCCGTTCAAAATCAAAATGACCAGTTGGACAGGTTTGCATCCACAAACGTGAATGACGGCAAGTATAAAACTAAAATTAACAACGATAAAAGATTAATTAAGGTAAAGAGAACAAAAATAATAAATGACTGATTTGGCATCATTCATTTTCCCGCCGCCATGATGTAGATTACCTGTGCCTTTTTTTTTTAAATACTTATAAATAGTTTGGCGGTGTGGTCTCATCAATTTACAGTTCAATTGGCTTTATATAACACTAGCAGTAGAGCCCAGCGTTGCCCGGGGATGTAACAGTAAGAGATAGATCAAGTATCGACCATCATAAAGACTGAAAAATAAAATTGACAAAGATTATTGTTTAAGATTGACGGACACGCATGTCTTAATTAGTTTTTTTTTTTTACGAATTGGTCAAACCCAAACTCAAACAAAAACATTGTTTTCAATCGTTATGAGTTTACCGATTGAATAGAATTTTATTATAAACAATTGTCTTGTAAATGGAATTTTTAAAGCATTCTGAATGTAAAAATAAAGAAAAAAGTGTGCAAGACAATAAGAAACACTACCTGCCAAAAAAAGTGTTTTGTTGAAACCGGTTGAAAATGTAGGAAATCCGATCCCATATGTAAACGAACTCACACACACACACACACACACACACACACACACACACACACACACACACACACACACACACAACCTGGGTTTTTATAATAAGTATAACTCGATATGAGTTGTCCCCCTTTCATTCTGGTGACAGAATTGTGTTTTATCGTGTTTTCAAATTGATTCCGTGCAAAAATAATTGTGTTTTTTCAATTTTTGGTGCTGTCAGAACTACCGCAAGGTAATTTTACTTAGTCCTGTGAAGTTTTGTTGAAATCGGTTGAAAAATGTAGGAAATCCGATCCAATATATAAACGTACACACACACACAATCTGCGTTTTATAATAAGTAAGATTATGTTCTTATATTTCTTAACAGTTTATTTTCTCTCCTGTAGAATTCTCTTTTGGCTTGTTGCTTTCCAGTCAACTTTGATCGTCAATAATTTAAATGCAATATCAATCGTTATCTAGCGTTTTCATGATTGCTCTTTTTTTTATTGTTCTCGGTACTTAACAAGGTTTTTTCTTCTTATTTTTTCACAGTCAGTAAACCCTTGTGTCTTAGTAACTTTATTGACTTGCTTGGATAGAATGAATGAAGAAAGAAAGAAAGAAACAAAACCATGTAATATGCAAATACAAAATATTTCTTTTTAACGAAGTAAAAGAAAAGAGAAAGAAATTATGCCAGCATCTACGAATCTGTGTGGAGAGCATTTTACCGCGTAACTCCCCCTCCTTGGAGGGATTTCGCATTATTTATCATCTCTCAGTTGCGTCTCTGTCCTTGGACAGAGTGCGCTCAGGGGCTTCTCTGTCTGAGGACAGAGGGGCAACTGAGGAAAATTATACTGAAGAGTTGCCCCAGCCCTGGGGAACAGCTGCCCGAGGCCGCGCCCTCCCATTGCACAAGAGGGTGGGTTGGTGTTCGCACCGAGGCCAGCGCAACCGACGGTTGCCGGGGCTGAGGGCAATTTTTGTCCCTTGCCCGGGTGTACGCGCTCGGGTCCCCCACATTAAACCGACCTTGTGTCACATCTCGTTCTCGTGGGGAATGAGTAAACACCGTGTGGAGAGCATTTTCCCATTTGTCCGAAAGTTCAATATTTTGGTTGGTCGGCGCCTATTAAGAAACTATTTGATGAGTTTTTGTGAATGCAGAAAGATGGTAAAAGATAAAAATTGTTTAGAGCAACAAAAGAGAGGAAGATGTGGCGAGCCATGATCACTTAAAGAGTTTGTGTTAATGGGTGGCAGAAGGGGGACATAGAGGGATGGTAAAAGATAAAAACCTACTAAGAGCAACAAAAGAGAGGAAGATGTGGAGAGTCATGATCAAGTAATAATTTTGTGAGAATGGATGGCAGAACAGGGACAAAAGAGAGTGGTAAAAAATAAAAATTACTTAGAGCAACAAAAAAACAGGAAGATGTGGAGAGCCATGATCAAGTAATGAATCTGTGTGAATGGATGACAAAACAGGAACAAAGCGGGATTGTAAAAGAAAAAATCTTAGAGCAACAAAAGAGAGGAAGATGTGGCGAGCCATGATCACTTAATGAGTTTGTGAGAATGGATGCCATTACAGAGACAAAGAGGCATCGTAAAAGATAAAAACTTACTTAGAGCAACAAAAGACGAGAATAGGTGGAGAACCATAGTCACCACTTTCTAAAAGAGGAAGTTCCTTCTGACTTTTGAACTGAAACGTTGAACAAGCAAATGATACCTAAAATTAATTCGCAATTGTAATGTTTAAAACGACATGACAATTCCGCTATACTTCATCGTCTATTTTTCTACGACTTTCTATAAAGTAGCAATTCGATGAATACTGACAAGTATTACAATATTGCTAGAAAATAATTAAATAAACTTAAATCATATTTGTTTTTATATCCTTTCTCGTAAAACGAAATTACTTTCCGAAACCACTAATATTTAAACAAATTTAATTTTCATTTGTTTTGATATCGCTTCTCGTAAAACTGAATTACTTTTTGTATACCTTAATATAATAAAAGATATTTACAATATTACCGAATTTATTCCTGAAACTTCCTTGCTTGCTGGTACTTATGTTGCTTAAAAAAAAAATCAGGCGAACACATTTTCATACAAAAGTTAATTGATCTCTTTCGGTTGATATAAAACAATTCTGTTATAACTATTTGTAGATTTCTTCACTGTCTCTTCTCTCACAGATAAAACTTGTTGATTTATTTGTTTCTGACATGTTTTTAACCCCTTACAACTCTTTTACGCTTTTTGGTGTTCTGTCGCCATATCCGAATAATTTACATTACTACAACTTACCAATTAGTAAAAGGGGGTTAAAGATTAATTCCTAATTACAGAAATTATATCTAAGAGTTAACAAGACTTCAAATAGAAACATATATTCAAGCAAAGAAGAATTTCTCGCAAAAGAAATCGGTTTAGATGTCAGTAATATAATCAGTCGACACTAAACAGAATAGCAACAATAATAAATCTAAAGGAATTTATAAAATAGATTCCAAGAATTTTCCCAATAAATACAGTGATGTTCGATAAAAGTGACTGATTTTTTTTACTAAAAATATTTTTAGTTTTGGGGTTAAAATAATTTTTAATCTTACTAATATAAAGACCCCTTCCCGACCACCTAGGAAAAAGTTTATTCACCCTAAGGTATTCTACTGATAATCATAAATTTGGATATAAATAAGATTCAGGAAAAAAAACTCTGTGCAAAAAAGTGACTCAGATATCGCATTCTAATGATTAAACTGGTAAATTTAAAGAACTTTTGACAAAATATTGAAAACTATTTTACAATACACTCAGAACAATATTCTAGAGAATTCTAGAACAGCTTAAATTAAATCTAAAGTATTCCAGAATATTCCAGAAAGCCTCATACAGTATAAGAACAGCTTGAAATAGCCATTCAAGTCACTAACCAGATGAAAGGGTACAAACACGCATCAGAACCACTTAAGGCATCTATTATTGCTCTCTCAAAAGCAGGCAAGTCTACGAGAGAAATTGCAGAAATTGCTATAACCTTGCAATCAACTGCCTCTCAAGTGCTGAGGGCACATAATGATGCCACTCCTGCCCCAAGGAAGGAAACAAGGGGATGAAAGAAAAAGATTGATGATAGAACTGGCAGGGTAATCAAGATTGAAGTTGCAAAGAATAGGACTTTAACTAGCCAAGAAATTGCAGCCAGTCTAAGCGAAGAGCAAGGTGTTAGTCTTGCCTCTTCAACAATCCGTCGGTGGCTGTTAGAACAAGGTTACAAATCTTGTACTCGAAGGTTTAAGCCGCTAATAAGCAAAGCCAACAAAGCCAAAGGACTTGAATGGGCTCACTATTACAAAAATTTCACCGTAGAAAACAGGAAGAATGTTCTCTTTTCCGATGAAACGAAAGTTGAGCTAAATTCAAAGGATAAGGGGAGTCAATTTTATCGAATAGCACTGTACATAGGAGAGATATCTAATTGATTGATTCGTTTTTTTTTTTACAGTTTATCAGCATTTTTTAGGTTATTTAAAACGGAAACATATTGTTTGATTATAAGAATTTGTTTGAGATAATAATGATTTTCTAATAAAAGTTTTACAATTTAACTCATAGATGCTAGGGGAAGAGGTAGATTCATCCTTTTCCCATGTGTATTAGCACGTAAGTGAATGTAAAGAACCCAACTGGAATTCTAACTCGGCTCTCCGATTTCTTATTCCGAGTTCTTATCCATTACACCAACCGCACATCCAAGCTTATAGCTTGGTATTCCCGAGCGGTCATCCATCTAAATATTGACCAGTTTCAGCGTGGCTTAACTTCGGTGAACGGATGAGAACCTGTGTAACAACGTAATATGGCCGTAAGCTGAGAGACAACAGAAATTTAGTTCTACAGAAGGATGCTGAGAATTCTATGAACGAAGCGCGTAGGAAACTAGGAAGTCTTCCGGAAAATAGAAACAAAAAGAAATCAGGACCAGAGACACATTTCTGGGATACATAATGTGAAAGGAGAGCCTGGAAAATTCGACATAGTACATGCTGAAAGCTGTAGGGAAAGAGGGAGCGGGCCAGCTACCTAGTAAATAGACACATATTGCTAAAAGATGCATGGGATAGAATGTCGTGAAGACGACAAGGAGCTAGAGGAGGAGGAGGAGAAGAAGTACAGAAAAGAGACATCTAAGAATTTCAGTAACACATTATAGTGATTTTACAAGCGTAGCTCAGATGTGGCACAAGGCCGAAAGTAGAGGCCACCCAGTGAGGATCGAACTCACTACTCACTCGTAATTGTTCTAAGCTTGCTAGCCATTACACCGCCTAGAGTTGCCCTTAGTAACACATTATTTGAATTCTTTCGGTTGATATATTTCCGATATATTTAGAATAATAATAATAATAATTTATTTAGGTGAAATCTATTGAAGGAACACTAATTTCGCAAACATTTATAGTAAATTCACATCTAGGATCATACAACATATTTCCTTTCCTTACAAAATTACTGTTAACGTGGGAGGATTAATAAAATTAACGATAGAAACAAAAAAATAAAAGCGATAAAACACTGAACGAGATGGGCTAAGTTTAGCATCTCGATACATCGGACGTTAGAATTAAAATTTAAAGACATATATATATATATATATAAATATAATTATTTATTCAAAAATATGATTCCAACGCTACATAAGAGTTCTCATGTTTCTAAACAAGAGCCGAAAACTCCAATATAATTATTTGAATTAAACTGAATTAAAGTACCAAGCTCTGTTCCATCTTCAAGCGAAATTTTTTTTTGGAATAACTTATTCCTGAAATTTACGCGTTTTATAAGCATATTCATTATTGAAATTAAAATTACTATGGTAACGGCTAGAGCAAATGTTTAATGAAATACACACACACACATGCATATATATATATATATATATATATATATATATATATATATATATATATATATATATATATATATATATATGTGTGTGTGTCTGTCTTTTTGTGTGAAAACAACGTGTGTAGTAGATGGTAAACACTTTTGCCAGACAGGCGTGGGTGAAAGTTTATATCAGCGGAAGTAACCCCATTTCAGCTTTTGGGAAGTATCTGTGCTGTGGTCCTGTTCTCTTTCACTTCGGGTCATCATCACAACAGGACGGAAAAAGTGCCTCGAATCATAAACGCAACATGGCGTATGCATAACACCTCACGCGCTCGCTGCGTCACAACCAGAGCAAGTTCAATTTTTCTTTCGTTATTTACCGAGACACTTAATTTCCTTGAAATTTTCACTACGCAAAAGATGTTCCCGATAGAATAAATATTTCTTTCTTGTTTTGTTTCACAGTTTTGTTTATTTTCTCAGCACCTAGGGTTTTGTTCAACATTCGACCCCCGACCTAGAGGCAACAGTTTGATAAAACTTGTACTACCTTGAAAGCCTCAGAGAGACAAAAAGAAAAAAAAAAATCTGCATTCATCTATTTCCCAGTGATTAAACTTCCGAACTGCCGTGGTGTTCAAAATTCTTGTTCGTAGCACTGAAAGTTCGTAAGTTCAAATTTTGTAAGTAGGGGACCAGCCGTATTAAATTAAAAAAATGGCCTGATCATATGGCAGTTGGTGACCGTGAAAATTTCACTGTTTATAAAGAAAATTGTTTGTATTTCTCTATTTTATAAGTACCATAGATTATTAGTTTTAGATGATGATTAAGGAATTGATTGATATTCAATGCCTTTTTATTATGCCGAACAACGCTAGAAATAAACGATCAGAAAAAAATGATATTAGGAGATGAATGAATAATTGTCTAGTCAGATGAATCACCTCAAATCACCAAAGATTTTAGGATTTTCAAACTAAATAATTTGTTGCAAGGAATTTTATCATCATTTAGCGACATTTTCAGCAAGGTTTCTACGACTTAAACTTATTAAGCAGATTGATAGGTTAAGGTATTTAGAAGAATCTGCAATGTTATCTGTCCTGATCTGGCATCTCGGTTTCAGTCACTTTCTCACCGTTATAATGTCCGTTCCCTGTGTCTTTTTTTTATAAATATTTTCATGGTAATTGTTCTGATAAACTTTCTTATATGGTATTTAGACTTTATGGATTTAAGCGCAATACTAGATTAGCAGCAAGGTCTAATCATTTTACAGTTGAAATGGCGATATGTAACCGCAAGTTCTTTGTTAAAAGTTTCTTCTCTTGCATTTCTTGCTTGTGGAACTCTCTTCCATATTCTTGCTTTCCTGTCAACTTTGATCTTCAAAAATTTAAATGCATTGTCAATCGTTATCTTCTGTCTTCTTAGTTCCTGTTCTTTTATTGTTCTCTGTCTTGGTGGCTTTATTGCCTTGCCTGGGGTGAAATGATTAAGGAAAAATTTAGAGCTTAACATTTGTTAACAAGGAATTTTTTAAAAATATTTATTTCTGAATCTCTTTGTCTTGAACGAGCTTCTGTCTAGCGACTCCAAACTTATTGTTTAATTTCTTTTCTAAAAAAAAAAAAAAAAAAAAATACTCTCCTCCAATAAAGATAAATAAATGAAATAAAAAAAAACAACATCAATTCATCATTTAAGCAAAAATTAGCTGTGTGCGACCGGCGGTCTATCAAATTCTCCAAGTGATTGTCAAAACATTGAATTTCAAAAAGAGCAACCCCCAAAACAAAACAGAACCCCACCCACCTTAAGTAAAAAAAAAAAAAAAAAAAGAAAAAATAGAAAAGAAAGCACTCTGCGTCTACTCTTGAAACTGAACCAGAAAATTACAAAATAATTATTTAACAAATTAATTTTTAACATTATACACATCATCCACTAGAGCAGTTACATTTGAGTAATGTTCGAACCTTATTGGGTGCTCCATACTTTCAGCCTTGTGCCACGTCTAAGCTGCGGTTAGCAAATCGCTACACACAACATCCTACCATGGCACAATGGAAAACAAGTTTGTCCCAGTGTCCAATTTCTTTATATCACGAGTTTGATCCAAACGCCCGCTCTGTATCTTTGTCTTGTCTCAGCCAAAGCAACTAAATAACCAACATAGCCTGTGAGTGTTCGAATTGTTGCATATTTCTCGCCGGTTTAAGAAGTCGATGTTCTAACGTAGGTAAAGGCTAGGAGTTGAAATAATGACGTCCTACACTTATTATCATTTGAATAGGTTTTCATAAATATCTCTCACCTTTTCAAATTCGTTAACAATTTAATACATCGTAAGTCTCGCCGAGTAGCAAAATTCAAGGTCGTGTCTCACTTTTGTAAAATACTGTTAAAGACACAGATGCTATTCAGGCGTGCACGTCTGGCCGTAAGATAACATGTAATATGTCAATACTTGAGCAATCTGTGTGCTAACTGCGCTCACAGTACAGCAATTAGCTTCTGGCGAGACAAACACAGCTGAAAAGCCCCAAGGCACGTATTACTAATGTAGATTACACCTGTATCTCTTGAATGAACGTAAGTTAACACACAAACGCACACACGCACCTATCCATCCATCAGTCTATAAATAAGTGAATCCAAATATTTGTATAATCTTTCGGGAGGCAGCTGGGTCTGTTGTTATGTAGAATCTATTAATGGAGACATGAACCACAAAATCTCTGGATTTGGCGCTAGGAAGGCACTGTTGAATTTGAAAAAAAAAAAATAATAATAATAAAAAATAATGATGCCTATACTGTAAGGGTCGACCGTGTTGTAATTTCTTCAATTTTTTGTTCTCTGCAGCAGAAAGAGATCTCCATTGAAGCTTGCAAATAAATGCGAAAAGATCATCCGGGAAACAATAAATGAGAATGAAAGTTGTAAAAAAAAAAGAAGAGCAATCAAAGTTCTCATAAACAAACAGGAAATTGAAATTCAGAGAAACAATGAAAAAAGAAACAAACAAAAAATGGTGCCCTGGAGATATAATTCAGGACAACATTGGCGCCAACGAAGATAAGCGCATGCGCATATTCACACAGACATTCTTGCATACATGCATAAAATAGACGCATATATGCACAAGGACGTATATATATATATATATATATATATATATATATATATATATATATATATATATATATATATATATATATATATACGTATATATATATACGCACATATATACGTATATATATATATATATATATATATATATATATATATATATATATGTGTGTGTGTGTGTGTGTGTGTGTGTGTGTGTGTGTGGACACACCAGCAGATATACAGGGTGCTAAGGGTAAATTGTTGGCATTTTATATTTTTAATTTCGAGAATGTAGTTTTTTGTTTTTGATTTTGTCAATTGTACAGTATAGTAGGGTCAGTTGGGCACCGTCTGTGAGAAAAAGAGCGCCATGACGCAATCTACAGCACCAGAAATTTGGAAACATCATGCTGTACTGCTTCGCACTCGCACCAGAAGCTCCAATAAGAACATTTCAGAGAGTTTGGGTGTCAAACTATGCAGAGGATTCGGAAAGAGTTGGATGATTTATCCATCGCAAGCTGTACATCTGTTAAAATAAAATGCCAGTGTTATATTTCTTTTTGCTTTATTTAGACGACAATTTATCCATCGTAAGCTGTACATATTACTACATACATGCAGACAATTATACACAAGAAAGCACACATATATGCATAAACCGAGGCATGTGTACAGAGACGCATTAAGATGCTCATTAGCCCGCGCATATACAAAAACGTACACACACGCAGACTTTCTCATAAGACTATACACATATATATATTTAAAATTTGTGTATTTGGGCAGTAATCATTCTTTTATGTAAGTTTTGTTAAAAAGCACTGAGGAGGTGTTAAGTTTTTTTTATTTAATT